TTCTCCTCCTCCTCCCCCCCCCCCCTGCTTGTTGCAGTCGGCAGTCAACGCGCTCCAAAGCCACTTCGGTCCTAAAAGGAAAACACCGTTGGTCGTCGTGACGTCACGGCACGTCGCACAAATGGGGTCGTCGGCACTTTTGCCACCCTACTTGGTAAGGTTTTTGCGCGAATTAGGTCAGTAGTTCATGTTCTATTAATTCTTACTCAATATCAAGGACAGTTTTTCACTTATCCCTTAGAACAGCTCTTCTTAATGGTGTGGAATTCTAGGATATCTCCATCACATTAGATTGCTTTTTAGCAGTTAATAGGTTACCTATGCGTTTTAGTTCCATATCTTCCTTTCAATTGAATTGAACTGCTTAGCGATCTCAATAAGGAATCATATATGTTGGCTAATCGCTGCAAAAGCCCGGCTTTGTCATGTGTTTTACGCAGATATGCGGAAAACAATCGATAATGGATCCATCGATTTATTTCTGCTTACGTACTGAAGATCTTCCATTAACCGATTTTTTCTAACTTCATCTTGGAAACAAAAGTTGACTGGTTTACTTCAGTTGTCTTCAGACCAGGCTTCACCTTCCAATTTACGCTCCGGAGGTATTGTTTTACAAAGTTTATCAGCTGATTTCTGGCTTGGAGGGTTTCCAAATGGGCCAATGAATGGCTATGGTAACGTTCAAAACATCTACCATTTCTCCGTTAATGAATGCTTTTCGGGGTGCGCCATGCGTTCCACTTTTACTGGGAATCGTGGTGGCTTTTGAATGCTATGTGACTATTCGTTGACTTGCGAAGCCACCTGGCGAACTGTTTTTGTGATTCGAAGCAAAATCGGTATCATTCTCGACCCTGAAGGAATGGAACTGGGTTGGTTTGGACAAGGCTTGATCCCATGATCTTCAACCGAACTGGTCCGTGGTGTGTGGCACCTGTTCCCTTTACACAGCCTCCACTTATTACGTCGTTGTTCATCGTTAAATTTCGAAAAACCATCTGTGCATTTCCGAGACAATGGGAGAAGACAGGAGTCTACGTGGTGCGAAAGTTCATATGTCTTGGAATAATTCAATTTTTCGCAGGTAGGACGTTCCGAGGTGAGTGTGAAAGCGAAAATGCAATGGTTCACACACCCCGTGGTTCGCTCCCCTGCAAAAGTTGAAATTTCTGTAGGCTATGGCAGCTATCACCTCACCCCCCCCCGTCCCTTGCTGGATGGGACCCAAGACAGTTTGAAATGACTTCCACTTACCTTTCGTTCGCTGTTGGCGCTACTATCATCAGATCAGTAACCTCTACCCCGCAGTAGAGTTTGTCACTCGAATGGCTCTGATGTTTGCTTGCCATGAGAAACTCGTCGCAAACGGTGGTTGAAGAAATTAAAATTCTAACAAAAAAGTTGACGGAGAGCAGTTGCAGCGAACATCGGGCAATAATATTCTAATTTCATGTATTTGTCGAATATTCTGAGTTTCGTTCCGCATTCTTTTCATTATAGAAGCATTTCTTAAAATGTGAATTCGTCACCTGTGAATTTTCTCCACATGAAGTTCTTTTGGGTTCCGGGGTTATGCGGACCGCTAGAACAACGACGTGCCAAAAGTCCTCGATTTTTCTGAATCTTCTTTTCATGCTTCCCAGAAGTGCGATCCTATTTCGTTAGAATTCTTACGACTCCCTCCTCGAAGTTACAAAGTGACCTTTTTTTTAAAAATAAGGCGGTTAAGCCTGTAAGGGTGACAAATAAGAGGGAATGTGGAAGCAATGAAGTGGTTAGAAGAAGAAATGAGAGGCGAGAGAAAAAGAGCAATTTAGCCAAAGCACAATTATTGAGAAAATTAATTGCAAACAAATCGCTATGGGAGTAGGGTTCCTTCTCGAGAGAAGTGGCTCACACACCACAGAGCTCCTTTTCACCCATGCTTGGCCAAAGTTTCTCATCCCCAAAATCCCTCTGCCTTGTCTTAGGTGATTCATACCAAGACGCTCTCCCTAGGTAAGGAACACCCATCTAGCTTCAAAAAAAAAACGAAATGTTATGTCTTCATTACGCCTCGATCTGATTTCGATAATGGCTTCCTGAATCCTTATCAACGTACTCTTTTAATCCGTAGCAACGATCAGAGAGTAGAGAAATAGTAACATCAAAAACCATCAAAAATGACCGAAGGTTTTGCCCGACGGTGTTATCGCTCACATAAGCGTTACCAGTCACGGGTGGAGTGACGGGCTTCACTTCATCAGTCAGATGTTCTCGAATGATCACATAAATTAAAAACGTAAGAAACAAAGTGATCGTTCTGCGAGTCCATCACTTCAAGGTTTTTCTTGTTAGTTTTCCTTTTTACGGTGTAGTTCGCCTTCCTCTTTAAGACTGGGAAATGCTGGGCAAAAACTGTTGCTTGATTTCGCTGGTGATTTTATTTGTTCGGTTCCGCTTGTTTGATAGGCGCACAAATTTTGACGAGTTCCTGACCCATACTTGTCTTTTTTATTGACATTCCATATCACTGATATTGACAAATGCTAACATCAGTTCACTTGTTTTCCTTGAAATTTCACCATCTCGGTGCTGGCTTTGCATTTGCTTCTATTATTTCACAACCTGCTCTCTCACTGAAATAATTGACAACTATAATATTTCTTCAATTTCGTCAAAAAGTCTAAAGACGACGCACGGAAGTTTGGTTACAAATGGTGTAAATATCCGTAGTCAAAAGGGAAATGAGGTGCCAATGCCAGTGCAAACGACGCCTAGCTTTCGCAGGCGAAAGTCGCGCTGGAAGGAGAATGAGCCATCGAAGAATTTCTGGTTCTTTACCACCAACCTTCCCGCATTCCCGTGAGAACTTGTCGCTTCCAATTTTCTGCAACCCTTTCCCTTAGCATTCGCATGGATGACGCGCCCTATTCAACTCGCACAACGCGAAATCATCCAACACCCCAAGCAGGGTCAACCGTTACGTTGGACCGATATTGGAGCGACGTTGGACCGATGTTCACCGCTCTCCGCGCCGGCATTCACTCTCGCCACCCGCGAGCCGTCTGTGTCTCCGTGCGTACGTTCACTCTCGGCATTACTCTCGTCGTCGCGTTGGACTTTGTCCAACGGACGGTTGACCCTGCCAAATTTGCGTCGAGCGGGAAGGGTGAGGAGGAGCAGAATTTTATCTTCGCGTAAAACTATTTGAAAGCAAGTTTATTTTGAATTAGATGTTTTTTACATTTCTCTACCTCGCTTTCCTAATTGTCAACTTTACAACGTGCCGTTATAATTTCTAAATACATTCCAAATATACATTCGACGTGGCTCGTTTTGCCTGGAGGGACTTCGTTGAGCTCCCAACGATTGATCGTTCCGCCTTTGACGTTCCACCTCTAAATGAATGCATCAATGTTTAATTCTGTCAATTCTTTTTCGGAAGCGCATTTCATTTTGAATGACCATATCGATTGGAGCACGATCGTTGCCAGGATGCCAGCAATCGTGGTGAGGTCGGGCAGCCCCTAAATCGATGGTTAGAGTGGGGGAGGGGGGAGGGTTATGGGTTTCTGGAGGATTCCCAGAATTATCATACCTAGCCTCCTTCCCCCTTCCCAATCTCCCCACACTCCTCCCAGCCTCACCGCTTTGATTTTCCCACAAACAAAATATAGTGCTCACATCATCGCGAATTGGTTGATGCTCTGATGACAGTGCGGGTCTGATATCTGCTTCCCATATTTTTGCTAGCACCTATCGTGTGTGTGGAGTCCCATTTTAGTCCAACTCCATTCTGAACGGCATTCATGATGCATGATGTTGGCAAGAATACATTAACATGGTGTTTTGCAATATGAATAATGTTGCGTCAATCAACGTCAATGTCGAGGCGAAATGGCATTTTTCATCGCATTCATCCACATTTCGGCCATTTCCGTTTCACACAGTCGTATAGTTCCTGGAACTTTTTCCTCCGATAGTCCCAATATCAAGTTCGTTGATCCTCAGTTGTCCAATGTGACGGCTGAAGGCATCTTTCCAGTGAAGCCTTTGTGTTCTTGTTGTGCCATTCCCGCCACCATTGTGGGCCCTCCGTCCAGTTCATGTGCGTTCTTTTGTTGCTATGAGGAAATCGGAGACAAACCTCATTCGGTGCGTCTGCTTACCGGCAGTATTCCTTACCAATGTGGAACCATTTTAGAGCATGCAAGCTAGGCTCATTTGGAATCTTCATCCTCATTCTTTTATATCATCTCAGCACCTTTAATCCAGAG